AAAAAAATTAAAAAAAAAAAAAAAAGAAGAGCCCGTGGTGGCATTGAGAGCATGAGCGTGCGGTTCGATAGTCCCAGTCCTCACTCTGCCACTGACCAGCTGTGGGACTTTGCATGGGTCATCTATCCCCTGAGCCTTCCTTTCCTCCTTTATAAGTCAAGCTAGGCACACGTCTCCCCTAGGGCTACAGTGAAGAAGAGATGAAAACGAGCAACGAAAAGCAAAAAGCACAATGCTGGTGCCAGGGAGTGTGTCTCATGAATGGTCACTATGCCAACCTATTTCGGTAGCCTTTCTGCAGGACCCCTCTGCCGAGGGCAGGCACGCTGGACAGAGAGAAGACATGGAGCTGGACGGGAGAGTGTGTTGACTGGAAAGAGCCAAGGGGAAACGAGCTGGAAACCAGGCTTGAGGAAGTGACACACGGACTCCAGGGGCAGCAGCAAGGAAACCTAGGAGAGCGAGTCTGAGCACAAGGCCAAGCCGAAAAGCAAGTGGGGTTATGTTTTACTAACATATACGTGGGTAGCAACAAACAAAACTACGACTCTTGGGCCAGAGTCCTACGATGGACATCTCAGGTTGCTAGAGAGCAGAGGCAATCCTGCTCCAGAACCTCCCTGCTCCACCTCCTCTCTGCCTTGACCCCTCATGACTGCTAATAGCAACAAGCTTTCCAGTAAATGTGGGGAAAACTCATCTCTCTTCCCCTATAAGGGGTGGGGGGGTGGGGGTACTAAGTATGGAGAAAGGTCCAGCACACCGGCTCCAGCCAACCGGGAGCCTGATTTCCTTAGCGAGATTAAGATCTGGACCCAAGGAGTGGTTTAACCCAACCCCCAGCACTTGGCCCAAGATCTTCTGTCAGACAGTTTTCCTCCCTGCAACTCCCTAGAGCAAGGCTTCTTCAGGTCTCTTCCCCCATTTGGCAGCTCATGGAAAGCTACTTGAAATAGTAACAGCTAGGTCTGAATTAGTAAAGAATTCCAGTTATGGGTGGGCTCGAGCTAAGAAAGAGGCTCTGTGGGCCTCCTGGTTTATTAGGGCCCTGAGAACAGACTCCATCAACACTGGCCTCATTCTTGGAGCTGAGCACTGAATTCTGCCCTTCAAGGGGTAACTGAGGGAGGTAGGCCAAACTCTCCCTCCCTCTCCTCATACCAGCAGCCTCCATTCCTGCTGGGGAAATTTAGCAGGTAGGTTCTGGAGTCTGAAGCCAGTCACATAGCATCGTGGGGAAAGGAAAGGTAATGAGAGTAATAACAGCGTAATGATCAAGAGCCAGAGTGCGGGTATAAAATACCAGCTCTGTCTTTTGCTGGCTGTATGGCCTTGAGCAAGTCACTTCACCTATGAAAGGCTAATACCAACTGGTTTGTTGAAGATTAAATAGGAGTAACATCTGTAAAAGTGCTTGGCATTGTGCTTCATCCATTTCGAGGGCTTCATAAGAGGTATCTAACATTATCCTTACAGCCTTAGAGAGAACATGGGTTTTGCAGGCAGACAGACTGAGTTCGAAGCCTGCCTTGACCGTCTGCTGACTAGCCTGGGGTAAATTACTTAAGTTTTTTGAGTTTCATGTTCCTCAGCTGTAAAACAAGGGAGATAAATTACAGGAAGAACATCCTCTGGTCTTTCTGCCCCTTCCCAATGTACACTCAACACTGACAACACACTAGAAAAAGAGAAAGCAGTTAGGGTATGTGGGTGCTCAGTTGGTTAAGCATCTGACTCTTGATTTTGGCTCAGGTTATGATCTCACGGTTGTGAGACTGAACCCTGTGTTGAGCCCACGTCAAGCCTGCTCAAGATTCTCTCCCTCTCCCTCTGCCTCTGCCCACTCCCCATGCCAATCCCACAGTGCGTGCTCTCGCTCTCAAAAAAAAGGGGGGGGTGGAGAAAATTGTCCCAGGGCTTTGTCTGTCCACAGGCTGTCACGGAAGCTGAGTGAAAGATGTGCACTGGGAGGGAGACAGTCATGGCCTGGCGTTCCAGTGAAAGTGGAAACAAAACAACTGTTTATTTTTCCTTGAATGCACTACTGGCTGAAATGGCCAGGCAGAGTTTTACAGAACTTCATTCCATTAAACAAACATCCCGGCTAAAATGGACAAAAGCCCTAGTCTTGTCACAGGAGAGCCCTTCGCGGCCAAGTGAGCCCCCGGGGTCTCCCTTTTCCCACCCCATCACTTCACCTCTTTGCAATCAAATTCAAACTCAATCTCAACAGAGTGTCACTGCAAATTGTTTATTAAAACACAAAGCAATGGACAGTGAAAAACATCCTGATTTTTTTACTTTTTGGTGGGAGTAGGGCGGGGCATGTAAAGGGTAGGGACAGATGGAGACAGCCCAGAAGGAAAGACAGCTCTATCCACCCCTACTGCTTTCCCGGGCCAGCCAGGTTCAAAGCCCCTCACTGTGCTGCTGTAAATGCATGTTGTGGCTACAGACAAAGAGTTGGTTTGACTTCCGCAGGGAGAGGATGGGAATCTAGGAGCTACCAGGGCTACTACGAACTTGACACTATTCTCCAGTACTTGGTACAGAATAGAGCAGCCAGGCCCAATCTGGAGGGGCGGGGTGGGTTTCCTGACAAGCCAGGTTAGGCCGATAATGGTTGAAGAGGCTGCTCTGAGCTCAGAATGGGCAGCTGGTCCTAGCGTGTGAGAACATGGTGGAAGGAAAATCCAAGGAGGGGACTAATCCAGGGTCAAATTTTTTTTCATTCCCTGGATCATGACACACCAGGGAAGAGAAGAGTCAAGAACGCCTCATTCCTGGTTTGCCGTGAAGATCTCCCTGCCAATTCTCCCCTCCCACCTGGCAACTCAGCTCTCCTTTCCCGACAGTTGTCCTTTGAAAGGACGGAAAGCACACTTCAGTTTGTTGTTGTTTTCCCTCATAGTGAAATAAAGCACTGAAGCTCAAAATAGAGGTGAGAATGAAGTTCTGCTTCTCCTGGTGCTATGTGCCCCCATCTCACAAGCCTGCATGGATGTGAGAGGTGCCAGGGCCCTCCCTGCCAACTCTAACAGGACTACTGTTTCCCTGGCTGCCAGCACAATCCTGGCTCCTTGTTTTTATACTCCTGGGGGGACGGGGGAGGTGGGAGGGGACCGTCCCAAGAGATCCATCCTGCTCTTTTCCTGCCAACCCAGCCAGTCCCCACATCACCTGCTCTTATCAGAATGATCTGGCAACCGAAGGCAGGCTAGCCAAAAGGCAGCTGGGGAAGGACAAACTAGATTGGCAGCAAGCCACCCTTGTACAAAGAAACCCGCCCTAGCTGGGCAGCTGACCCACTGATGCCAATCTGGTCTCATAATAAAATGAGGAAACCTAGCCCTCTTGCCCCAGGAGAGGTCTAAACACACAAAGAGTCCGAGCTCGGACGGATAGGGAGAAATTACTCTGATCTCTCTGAAGCTTGAACATTAAGGTTTCTTTGCAATTTTCTTAGAGCTCTTTGAACCCTAATTAGATCTTTCCATAGAAGAGAAGCAAACTTCTTCTAAGATTTCTGAACACATCCCAGGTGTTTCTGATTCTGCTTCTGCACTATCACTTAGCCTTACCCCAGGCTCCTTCCCCAGGGCCGCAGCAGGAGGCGGCCCAAAGCATCTCCTCCTCCTTCCTTTTTGAACAGGAGCATCTGTTAGTCTCTCAGTTTGGAAAGCTTACCTGCTCTCCTAGGCCCTTTGGAGAGGCATGGAGGACAATACTACATGTTGCCACTTGATGCCATTAAGGCTCCTCGAGGCAAGAAGACACTTGAATTAGGTCAGAGCCGGCCAGCAAAGGGGAAGGGGAGAGAGGGATGGGGAAGCAGCCCCATGGCAGGGACTGTAAGACCCCTGCCCAGACCTGAATCTAGAGGGAATGCCCACCCTGGCTCAGAGCAGGAGAGGAAAAGGCACTGTGCTGACCGGGGGTGGGTCCTGCCCCAATATCCAGGGAGGGTAGAGAACTTGTGGACTCTTTCCCTGGGCTTCCCAAGGTGAGCCAATTTCTAGAGAAAGAAGTGTACCTGCTAGGAAAGGGAAAATACTGCTGCTGTTTTCTGAAGTTCAACTGAGATTCTAGAAGCCATGGCCAGGCGTTCTCAGGAGAAAGTAAAGACAGGATAAGAAGGAAGAGAAATTCCTTAAAACAGAAGCTTCTCCAAAAAGATAAAGAAGTCAAAACACAATTCTGAAACTGGATTAAACAGTTTCCAGGCACAGAAAGGGGGAGGTAAACCTAAACTTCACCTCAGCTCTTCAAAGTCTAATTGACCTCTAATGTGATCCCCCAATTTCAGGCCAGTATCTCTTAGGCAAACAGTGGGAAAAAGAGAAGAAGGTCACACTCTCAAACCAGCCGGTGGCCCTGTAGGCCCCATGGCCCCCCCGGGAGTCTGACCCCACTGACACGTGAAGAGAACCATCTTTCAAGTCACCAGAATTCAAGATATCCACTGAGCAGCTTCTCCTCCATAATGGAGACTTTGTGGGAAAATGGACCTGGTTTAGGGGACATGGGTCCCACAGATTATTTCCTGGCACAACATTTCAGTCAGCGTGAGTAAAACCCACAACGGCCACCTGGCCCCTGACCCAAATCAGAGCTAGGCTGCAGATTCTCAGCCCATCCCCAGCAGACATCTTTGTGTGGTCTACCCAGAAACTGAACCAAAAAAGGAGTTTCATCTTGGCCATCTGTTCTTGGCTTTGGCCAGCTGGGGTCAGGGAAATCTAAAAACCTAGGGGAGCGTGGATCCAGTAGAAGTGCCCAGATAGCCCTTTCCCCAGGTCTCAGTGGCATCCCTCATCACCTCCCAACCCCAGATAGACTCCCGGCAGCATGGCTGCCTGGTCCTCGCACTAGCTCAAAATACAGGCAGGGGAACGAACAGTGCAAAAAGCAAATGATGAACAGAGTAATTTGTGACACACACAATACAAAAATAAAAATACAGAGTGCCCCAACCCACCCCTTTAACCTAAACTTCATGTACCTATATCATCTTGGAGGAGCCAAAAAAAACAAAAACAAAAACAAAAAACAAGCTTTCAAGTTCAGCATCCTGGGCCAGCTGTGACCGGCCCTGGGCAGCTCTGTTAGCTGGGTGGGCTTGGCTCCAGGGGACTCTTCCCGGGCCCCCACCATACTTCGTCCTGTTTCCTCACTTCTCCTTTAGTTTTTGTGAGCCACAGAAGGATGTTCCTTCCTTTTGGACACAAGCAGAGGAAAATGCCCATCCCTATCCCTGAGCTCAGGGGAAAGAAGTGGGCTTGGAAACAGGGGTGGGCTTGGAAGCAAAGCTGCTTGGCTTACAGTACCATTAGGAAATGGCCCCAGGAGCCAGGGTTTCCTTCTGAGACTCTGAGTCACTGAAGGGATGGGTTGAGGTGAGGAGGCGGGACCCCTCCTTCCTCAGAGACCCAGGCAAACTAACAAACAAGGCAAAATGGAGGCAGCACATCCTCCTTTCTTATCTCGTCTACTTCACTGGCAGTGGCCTACAGCTGTGGGAACTTCTGATGGAAGACGAACTGAAGCCACTGTCGGAAGCCCAATCAACAGTCAGGATGTCCACTGCCCCAGGCAGGGGCTCCCCAGGACCAAGGCCATAGGATGCCATCCTTTAAAGCAGGGAGCTTTGTGAAGCACTCCAGAAGTATTCCTCTTACTGCGGCCTCAGGCCACAGCCATCCAGATGCCTGACTCAATACCCTACTACTGAGGCCTAAGTCACAGCTAAAATAAAGGGCTCCAACTCTCAAAGGACTAAATGCTGGCCCAGAGTAACTCATCAAGAGTCAAAACCCAGGACATGAGCCCAAAGCCTACTTACTTTGTCACATAACAAACAGTTCAAATATATGGAGCTCTTTAAAACATTAAAAAAAAATAAAAGACAAAATTAAACACATTCTAAAATGATGAGCCTTGTCTGAGATTCTATGCTGCTCCAGCCCAAGCAGAAGCTAATCCTGTTGCCTTCCATCCACAGAAAAGCTACAAGGGTAGCTTGGCTGGGTCCTCCCTCATTGCTGCCCTAACTGGGAAAAGGATAACAGTGACCAGAAAGGAAGAGAACAGGGAAGCTTCATTTCCTGCAGAAGTTTTTCCAGGGAATTTAAGACAGACACTTAGATGCTAAGGTTGGCTTCAGAGCTGCCAGGACTATGGCTGACTGGAAATCTTTCAGCCCCATCACACCAAGAACTCAACTGTAACTTGGATAGGGAGATGAAAGGGCAGAGGGGCATACTATTAAGATCAGTGAGAGGCACCCCTGGGCCAGATACAAACAATCAGTCTAGTTCTGTGGGGCAGCCCTGGGCATAAACCAAAACCGGTTGACTTGTGCCACAGACGTAAGATGGGAAAAAATGAACATCAGATACTAGACACTCTAAACAGGGGTCAGTCACTTAGTAGGGCTCAAGTCTCTGAGGTGGCTCTTAAGTTATGCTAACATAAGCCTTTTCTAATCCAAAGACCAGAAGAGACTTTTAAGGTCAAGTGTTCTGTTGCTGCAGGCTGGAAAGCACCCCTGTCCCCTGGCAGCAAGACCCTACAGAGGGGCCAGTAAAAGAACTGCTAGGTCAGGTCCTCCTGGCTGCTGGCTCAGAGATCCAGGGAGGGAAGTACCAACAAGGTGAGGTGGTAGAGGATAAGACATTCAAGCAAAGGGAACCCCAAATCCCCATGTCTCCTTCCCTTCTTGGCAATAACTTAGCAGGATGACTAGGAGAGAAGAGATTTCAAATGAGCCAGATTAAGGGGGGAAAAATGAGAGGAAATCAAGTCCCCAACAGGCACTGAAATTAAAATGATTTGTTGTGGTAACAAGTCAGAGGCAACTTGAGGACCTGACATAAACTATTTGTCTTGGATACCAGACAGTCCTCTAACTGGCACATGTCAGGGAGACAAGCAATGACAAAGCGCAAACACTTAAGGTGGAACCATCATTAGGCTGAAACCAGAAAGGCTTCCAAGTAAGGAAGTATCTACTTTTCTTTCTTTTTCTGTTTAATCCCCCTCTGTTTTCATCTTTATCATACAAATTATACACCTTCACACATACACAAAGCACACACACTTTCAATCCCAGGGCATCTGAAAACTTATCTGGACGTCACTTCAGAACATACCCAACTCCCAGCACTGGTCTTCTCAGGTAGTAAGATGACATTTCCCTGCTGTTAATTTCTAACCTAAAAAAAGGAACTGTGTCTGCTCTGGGTTCAGAGTCCTTTCCACTAGGTGTGCAGACGAGGATCCTTGAACACGTAGGATCCGCTTTGCCCTAAGTACCCTGGAGAGGAAAGAGACGGCTGGGGCCAGCCACAAAGAGAGCATAAGGACTGAAGCAGGGCTGGGACCAGTGGTGGATGAGGGCTGCTCTCTACCCACTCTGCCTCTTTTTTTCTCCTTTAATTTTTGTGTGTGGTTTTTGTCTGTTTGTTTTTTTTGTTAATCACTGTGAAAAATACAGAAACCAAAACCAACATGTTTGGTTTCTTTCCCTCACCCCTCCACCCAGTTCAGGATGGTATTTGTTCTCACAACCGGCAGAGGCAGAAGAGGGTTGGAATGAAGACTCCGAAGGCCACCAGGATGGGAAACATGAGGCTGCTGTTGTCCGAGGCATAGGGGTTGGGCGTGCGGGGGCCTGACTGCACCCGATTCTTATTGGTCTGTCTTTTGAGATTAGACCCTTCATCGTATTCTTCTTCTTCTTCCTCCTCCTCTTTCTTCTCCAGTCCTGGATGAGGCTGCAGCTTTGGTACATCTGACACAAGAAAACAGACACCTGTTAAGTGAGATCCACAGCATTTAAGTGAGACCCTTAAGAGCCGTAAATGAGCTACAATAAAGAGATGCTATGACCTAAGCTGGGTCTACGGGAAAAAAGAGAAGTAGCAGAACTAGCTCCTGGCCTAGAGAAGAGCAGATTGCTGCAAACACTATTCTTTAGATTTAACTAAGACACAGTACAAGCCCTGCACCCAGGGAGGTTCGCTAGCTCCTCTTCCTGTCCTACTTCTCAGAACCGCGGGAGGACCAGACTGAACAGAGACAATGACCCAACACCCTAAACTTAACCTTTTCAAATCCCTCCTGCAGCCTCCGCAATCCCACATTCCCTTCTGATTCACGAAGCAACTGAGGAAAAGCTGAGCCACAGAGCCTTGGGTTGTCAGCACCCACTACCCCTCTGCTCTGCCTCCTCCTTAGCGAATCAAGCTGCAAATCTGTTTTTGTGGCAAGACATCTGCCTAGATGTCAGAATACCAGCATCTGGGGACACATCAAGACAACAGGATGGGCTCCCCGGTGCATTCAGGACGAGTTGGGAAAATGTACAGAGGTGGAATGGAGGTGAAAAGTCACTTAGACACAAGCTTTCTCTGCAAAAAATCAGCCTGGGAAGCTGGTGGGTAGGATGATCACAATGCTGAGAAAGTGATACACCCTAAGGCTGGATCCCAAGGCCAAGGAGACATTGGTAAGTAAACTCTTGTCCAGCACAGCCCAGCAATGCTGGAGCTCTAAGAGCATACCAACATGCAAACGGACTCCTCCTCCTTTTGCCTTTTCCCTTTTTGCCCCCAGTAATTAGATGTCAAAGAAAGAAAATAAGGCCAAGTTCTAGGCAATTCCAAAAGACTCCAAGGTTAGGGCACACCAGTAGGTACCATTATTAAGCCAAATTTACAGTGAAGTTAAAGGAATTTGTCCAAAACCAAAGAGCTGATTAAGTGACAGCAACAAAATTTGAACACAGACCTTACTCCAAAGCTTATGGCCAGCACCATGCTACACTTCATCCCCATCCGTCTGGCTCTGGATTCCCCACAATTTGGCTTTAAGCGTTCTCACGAGAGTGATCAGCTAAATTATCCCCCCAAGGGCTTCCTCAACCACATCCTTCAGCTCAAGGAAAAAAGGAGGTTAAAGACGCCACTTACCATCCACTGTCCCAGCCATGATGTAGAGTGCACAAACTTTGGGATTGTCATAGTACCCCTAGGAAATGGGAAACCATGGTCAGCACCACACAGCAGTGAACATTCCCCCTGCACCCATTCTTTTATTAAACATTTCCTCAGCGGGGAGGGCAGAGGGAGAGCATTACCTTAACAAACTCGATGTAGAGTTTCCCTGTGAAGGTGGACACCTCCCCTTGGACACTCAGCTTCCCCTTTCTGATGCTCATAGGGATGATTTCATCATGAGCTGTGCTGTGCCCAACACGATCAAAGATATCCAAGTCCTTCACCACGACATGGCCATTCAATCGCACATCAAATACCTTCCACGATTTAAAAAAACAAAAGAGAGAGAGAGAGGACAATGTCAAAACCATCAGCTTCATACCCCTTTAGCAGCTGGACTTCATGTACCTGCCCGGGTCTTCAAGTTCAGAAATAATTTTTAAAATGACAGGGCTGGATATAGTCAAGGGTACCGAGTTCTTTACATGAGCTAAATCAAAGCCATGTTCTTTCACCGTCAAGGTCTCATACTGGCCTTACGGAACAAAGAATACAAACAAAGAGCTCAACATGGACAGAAGGAAATTCGCAAGAAGAGACAGGAAAAGAGTAAGGCTAAAAACAAGAAGGTGCTGACAACCGAGGAGGACAACCAGGATCAGTTAGTTGCCAAGAACTAAGAGTCTGGCATTGCCTTCTGTCACCAACCCCCAAGGCAAGTGCAGCCTTGTGAGCAATGGGACATTGCTTCTCTAGGGGCAGAAGGAATCCAGCTTTTCCTCAAAGCTCACCTGTTCCTCCCTTCTGGGGAGGCTCTTACATTCTCTGGCCCATAGCAGGGGACTATCCAAGAGTGGCAATGTCCCACTGACCAGGCCTCACCTTCTGCTGGGACTGTGCGAAGTAGACCTCAGCAAATTTCAACACCAGCACATAATCCCCCTCCTCCTTAATGGGCACTTCGTAGCCGAAAGTCTCCTCATTGTACCGCTCTGTTTGATATAGGATCTGGTCCTCTGGGTTGGAACGCAGGATCGGCAGTTTCATACCATAGTCAGAGGCTGTGGACAAAAAACAAAGAGAAACCACATCAGAGGCAAGACACACACAAAAAGCAGAGACCCCAGGACTGCCAGCCATTTCCAGGGCAATGCTAGTAACCTTCCCAGGGGAAGAGGCCACTCCCTCTCCGCCTGGCTGTAAAGAGACCAGACACAAAGGCAAGAATTAGAGAGCCATTACCAAGGAAGAATAAAGCGAGAGAAACCAAACACTAATCACCCCGACAGCTCCCTAACCCTCAGAGTAGAACTTTTTAAAAGGCTGTTAAAATGACTTTCCTCAACTGCACAGAGAGTGACAGGAAGAAAACAGGCGATAGCTACAGTTCCTGGCTCCCTGAGAAGGGGAGCTTCAGAGAAAGCTCATAAAACGAGGGGGGGGGTGGCCAAGAACTCTGCAAGATGATTAAGCTCAGAGAATGTGTGGGGTTTGGTTTTTTTGTTTGTTTTTCATTCAGAAAAGCTCAAGAGTCTAAAACAAACAGGCTATGTTAGGAAAGTCATTTCTACATTGTCTTTACCGCAAATAAGATACCCGCTTAGTTGCTTTTTATAATTTTCATTCACAAAGTTCCAAGGCTGGTAAAGAGAAATATGCTCATAAGAAGGGTGTGATGCTAATTTCCTTTACATGCAAGCACCTTAATTCTCACAAACTCACAAAACTCAACCTCACCTACTCTCTCTTGCACATTCCCCCAGTTAAACCGAAAGAAGAAAAAAGTTCCTACTGTGTCCCCAGCACCTAACAAGGTGGCTGGCACATAAACAGGCACTTAATATGTTTTGCTGAATTAACAAACAGCAACAAAGGAGGTGCCTGCAGAGCAGTGAAGGCATGCTATTCTCTCCACAGGGCTAGAGCCATCCTAGCAAGAAAAAATCTGCCAAGGTCCTACTGGCACCTCTGCCCTAAGATGCCCAAGTCCTTGGGGAGCCACCTTTCCCATTTCATAGACTGACAAGGAATAAGGCAGGGTAAAAGTAAAAAGACACCTGGGTGGCTCAGCTGGTCGAGCATGTGGCTCTTGATCTCAGAGTTATGAGTATTCAAGCCCCACTTTGAGCATAGAGCTTACATTAAAAAAAAAAAAAAAAAAAAAAAAAAAGGTAAAAAGTTGGGTATCAGAAGAGCGGAAAACCTCTATTGCCCCCAACCCTCTTCCCCAGTCTTGGTAGAAGACAAGACTATGTATGTTTTTCTCCCGCCCCATAACAAACTAGACTGGGGTCCTTCCTCAAACATAAGACACCAACCACACTCCAGCCCCAGAGATGAACAGCTATGTTCCTCCTTCGAAAGTAGCTTCTCTGATTCCTTTATCATGTAAACACAATGAGGCTTTCCAGTGTTCCATAAATCTACTTTCCAAACTACAGACTTAGCAATGATTTTGGTACAGGCCCAGTCGCTCCCCCAGCCCGGAATTAAGATTTCAAGACCACCTTCCAATCTCACACAGTGACTCTGAAGATATTTGGCACCTAGGTCCTTTGCAAGATGTCCAAGAGCAGTCATCCCTGGAGCCTTACCTTCTGAATCAACAAAACTCCAAGGGGATCTTTTATCTCCAAGGGAGGTAAAAGAGTAACTAAAAGAGCCAGGGGCTAAGGTCAAGCCCTCAAAAAAATAAACATAACTGTTGACAGTTCCTGTAAGGGAACAGTTAGCCATGACATCAGGTGGACCTGATGAGACAATGCAACGGGAAACTCATTGCACTTCTGTCTTCAGACTTTTTTCTTATTTCTTCTCAAGAAATCAAAGAAGGGTGCTAAGTAGCACTACAAAGGATGTACTGCCAACACGCCTCAGCTCTTTCCCAGGCTCAAACCATTACACCAGGGCACAAACCCATAAAGATTAAAAGACTGCTATTTCTCTTCCACTTGAGTTCTAAGAATTTCCTTCTTCCATGAGAACCATGATCCTTACAAATTTGGAACATTAACTAGATTTGCTTTTTAGATACACAGAAAATTTTGTGCATGTGTGGGGAATCTTTTCTTTTCTTGCCGAGTGGAAAAAGTGAGAAACTGACAGTAATGTAATCTGTAACAGCCTTAGTCTCACAACTAAGAAAACTCAGCCATGTGAATAAAAACTACTTAACAACCTTGGAATTACCTTTAAATATTTTCCCTTTAAAGCCCAAGTGGCTTTCCCAGGAGATGTGCCACATGTAAAGATGCATCTGCCCAAGTCCCAAGAGACGCAGCAGGAAAAAGGATTTTTTTCTTTCCCCCTTAGACTTTATGTATTCACAGCTAAACAGATTTCTCTAAAATACAGTGATGTGTACACAATCAGCACACTGCTGAAGTTGGCACAATATAGTTCAGACAGTTAACCAGAAAGGAAGGGGGCCAAAGGGCCTACATTATGTCTGCTGCTAAGATTCTTAGTTCAGGACAATGGAGGAGCCAGGCTGCTCGAAAAATTCAGCCCCGGTTTTACAGTAAGACAGGCCTGGATCTGAATCCTGGCTCTGCCACCTATGATGGGATTTGGAACAAATTATTTTCTCCAGGTGTTTTCTCACCTGTAAAATGGGGGCTACCACCCACTTAAATTCTCTACCTATGAAATTCTGCTATTTGGTGGGCCTGCAGATGAAGCCTGCCTCTTAGGTGACAGTACAGGGAGAGAATCCGAAACAAATCCCAAGGCCTTCAGCAAATCGGAGGGAGCAGGGACTCTCATCCTCTTTTTAGTTCTTATCTCCCCAAAGCCAAATCCCTCCCCAGCCAAAAGGAAGACTGCCCAGAAAAGGGTCTCCCTTAGGCTTGCAGAATTAGTAATCTGATAGGCTCAGGCTCTAAGCCACCTTTTTACCCCTCTGGAATCATGATGTGCCCTAGTTTTAACTTCATGTAAAAGGTCACTGAGCACAGAAAAAGAGACACTTTAACCCATTCTGGACAGAAGAGTTTTCAGACTCAGGGCCACTGATTTCTAAAGCATCACAGGTTATACTAAAAAAGGAAAACAAGGCCCAGAGAGGTAAAGTGTGTTCTTCAAGGTCATACAAATGCTCAGCAGGTATCTTTCTATTAAGAGGAAATTGCCTCTCCCAAAACCAAGCCAAGTTTTATGCTCTCAGGTCTTTTCCTCCTCAGTCAGGAGGAACCCACAATGAGCAAGTTCAAAAGAACCCAGAATGTTCAGCATGCCAAAACCCCAAGTTGAGCACTGCCGAAGCACAGTGGTACTACCATCTGGTGAAGCACACAAGTTGAAAGAGCCTTTCCCAAGCTGTAAGTATCTCCGATGAGCACTAGCTATCCTCAAGGCAGAAATGAAATTCAACAAATATTATGGAGTGCCTTTGAAAGCAAAAGCCACTAGGTGCCCTAGGCCACTCAGTTACAAGAATGCTGAACTACAAAGACACTACAGAGAAACACCAAGTTCAAAAGCAGGCCAAACCCTTATCTGGATTAACTTGGCAACAAATACCTGAATTCAGTCAACATAAAATGAACTTTCTTCAGCATGACAGAAACAATTATCAGAGGCATGTGGCAAAAGAATAAGACATACAGCTCCTACCGCAATTAGTGTAAATAGCTGCCTGAGGCAAGGGTCTCCAAGTACCTGGCACATCCTACCTAAACGGTGCCAGAGAAGGGAAGGTAGAGTGAACAGCTACACTTCCCTCAGTGGTGCCGACTCCTTAGCACAGAAAGAAACTACAGAGTTGCCTCCCGAGAGTGGAAGCTGAACCAGAGAGTGGAAGCTGAACCACGTCTCAGGCCCAGATCTAACGCCACCAAAAATTACTCTCAGGAACCCAGTGTGCAATGCTGCAACAGGCTGGTCCAAGCTGCAGCTGACAACCAGCCTCCACTCTTCATCTACCCCTTCCTATTGCTATAATTCATGGTCCACGTTTGTCATACTCTGACAGAGTGGAGCAGGGAGCCTCTGTTTATAGAGTGCCCCAAATGCCGGGCTCCAGTACACATGGGCTTGGGTAGGTCTCATGTATTTTACCTGCTACAATAAACTCCAAAGAAACTGCAACCATGAACCAATAACCGAAGGACACAGAGACTGGATGAACGCTGACAAGCACCAGCACCTCCCCCGCTCCACCCCCAAAATCACCTACACCAGCAAATTAAAACCAGGATTTCCAAGTAAGAGGAGAAGCTGGGAACTAAACCTTCATGGTCTTAGCTTTTTCCTCTGCACAATAACCCTAATAGGATAATGTAACCTATGTGAAGCCTGGTATCCGTTAAGTGAGAGAAACCATCTGTACACTGTCCTCACCACTGCTATCTCAAGAGGCAAAGTCCACAAACGGTCTCTAGTTTCCTCAAGGGCTCCTTCCTCCCTGCCCACACCCATGAGGAAAGAGGAAGGGTCCAGGATGGAGATAGCAATGACCTCCTGCTTATATTAAGTCTGGCTTTGGCTGCTGTTAGAGCTGCTAAAGATTGGAGCCCTGACTCAGCTGAACCCAGGCTACTGAGACCTACACGCCAGGGCTAACTAAATTCCAAGACAAACATAGAACTTCAGAAAACAGCCCTGTGTCCCAACACCCTCACATGTATGGAAGCAATAAACTCGCTAATATAACAAACTCCAGGACACTGCAATTATCTTGGAAGAACTAAGTTAAACCCTTTCCTAAAGGCAAGAGCCAAATCTGGGCATTGTGGAAAGAATGAGAGAAAGTCTGTCTCTTGGTTTTCTGGAGATGGCATACTGCCAATTTGGCAGCCTCTGAACCCAGCATGCAACATAAATCTCCTTCCAACACATGAAGTATGGAACTTCCCTCCTAAACCTGTTGTCCAATCCCACTTACAGAAGAAACAGGAGTCTAGAGCAGATCTTCCCAAAGTCTGGTCTGGGGATGACCAACATCAGAAGCCCCTGGTGCAGAAACGTGGGTTTAGTCTACTAGGTCTGGGATTTGCATGTTTAACCAGCTCCCCTGGCTATTCTTACCCTAGCTTTGAGAACTGCGCAGCGCTCTAAAAACCGCTGCGGCTCGTCAGTTAAGTCAAAATCATTTTTCCCATACGTTGGGATCATACCTCTCAAGGCCACTTAGGGTAGGCTCTACACACTCTGGAACACAACCCTCAGATCTTACACTGGCTGACCCAGCTGACACTCTTATCAGCCTCACGTGCAGAATGGCTTCAATATAACCACCCTCTGGGGTGGCCTCAACTTCCACCTTTAGGCGCACATATTCCTAGCTCTAAAAGGGGGGCGGGAGGAGGCTACCATCAAACTTTCCTGGCCCATCCTCTTCGAAGATTCCTTCCTATGCTGGCTAAGAATCAAGCCCCGTTCCCGCAGAAGGGGTAAGAAAAGGGGCTCGGTTCTGGGATGGCAGGAATCTACCAGGAACTGTCTTGTTAGGAGAGCAAAACCCCCCCAGGCCTGGGACTCTGATAACCTACAACCCGTGAGGCCTCGAGGTGGCAAGAGGCCGCCCTCGTCTTTACTTTCCCAGATCGGGTGGAAGTGAGGGGTTAAGAAAATGCAGGATGTGAGGTCCAAATATAACTTCTCGCCAACTCTGCCTCAATTGTTCTTCCTAGCTTCGAGCCAGCGCCAGGCTTTGAGCTCGGACCGGGTCCCTGAGGAAACTGCAAAGAGAGAGACTTGGCTCCAGAGACGTGGCTCCAGGGTCGAGGAGGGGGCTCAGGGCCCGCAGCCCTCCGCCGGCTGCTCCCAGCACGGCAGGCCCCGGATCCCACGGCTCGGCTGAGGGGCTCTCACCTCGGCCCACCCGGCCTTCCAAAGGGTCCTTGCGGAAGTGGATCCCGTGCACGTCCACATGCGCCTCGCCGCCCGCGTTGACGGCCCAAATGACGCTCTCGGGTAGCCCGGCCCCCGCGGAGCCGACCACGCCGAGCCCCGGCCCCCGGAGCGCCGGCGGCAGCAGCAGCAGCAGCAGCAGCAGCAGCAGTCGCAGGAGCGCCACGGCGGCTCCCTCAACCGCCCGGGCCCCCAGCATGGCGGCCACCACAGCGGGGGCAGCCTCCGCCGACCCTCGTCCTCAGCCGGCCGCGAGGCCGCCCCGGACTCAGAAAAACAGCACCACGGGCCGCTCTGCCTCGGCCGCCGGGGACATGTCGCTCTCAGGCCTCCTTCTCAGCCACGGGTGCCGCCTCCCACCTCAGGAACAACCTACCCCGCCGCCCAGCCCCCGGCCTCGACCCTGCAGCCAATCAGCGCCCGACCCTCATTAATTACCCATCACCCCGCCGAGAAAAGACCGTCCATTGGCTGCCAGGCGAGGGAAAGGGCGTGGCTACTCCCAGGCGCCGGCCCAACCATCAGGCTCGAGAGGGAGCGCGCGCACAGGTTGAGAGTTCGGTTGAAGCGGCGGTTCAATGCGGAAGCGGCGGGGTGCAGCGCCCGGGCGGCCCCGGAATCCCGCAGCTGAAGAGGAAAGGTGGCCTGGGAGGGAAGGTTTAGAGTAGGGCGCACTGACACGTCGCCAACACTTCCGGTGCTCCAGATCTTGGGACCGAATAGGCTCCCGAGGGGGCGTTGCTGACTTTCCCGCCCCCTCTTCCTTTCTCAGGGAGAGGCATGAACATAAGCTCTAGTAGGAGTGCACACTCTTCGGACCTGAGCCCCAGTCTTTTTCTCCTTGTGAGGCAGAGAACCCATTCTCCCCTAGAGCGGCCACAAGCACAGCTCTTCAGGGCACGAGTCTCACGAAGACAACACCCCGCCCCCACCCCTTTGCGGCCTCAGGGCTGGTGGTAGCGTCCAGGCGGCCAACCAATCAGAAGGCTCCAACACAGCGGAAATGCGTGGCCTTGTGGGGGAGGGGCTCCAGCTACCCGTGTATCCATGGCGACAGCCTCGGCCCCGCCCCAGCGACTCCGGGACGGCATCGGGGTTTCCCCCGCGTTGGTGGGGAGAGTCGAGCGTGGTGCCCAGTCTGGAGGTGTATGCTCGACCGGAGCTCCTTCTCTGCTCCTTGGCAGTTCACCCAGCACTTTCCTACATTGGCGATCCCTGCGCCGAGGTCGCTGTCCGACCTCCCGACTTTTCAGACAGAGACAGTGAGGCCCAAAGAGGGTCGCAGAGTTGGCCAAACGGTGACACCGCAAGTTTAGGGCCGAGCCAAGGCAAATTCCGCAAATATTTTTTTGAGACCCTACTACTAGGGTTGGCAGATGTAGCAGATAAAATACAGGAAGCCCAGTTGAATTTGAATTTCAGATAAACAAATGGGACATACTTATATGAAAAAATAATTCATATTTTGTTTAAAATCCAAATTTAACTGGGATTTTTGCATTTTACCCGACAACCTTTCCTACTACGTACCAGGCAATGAGCTTTGTGCAGCAGTGAACAAAAACACACCCAGGGTCCTGAATGAGAATTGCAGACTGAACTACCCACAGCTCAATTATTTAGTTAGAACAGAGATAAACAAAATGGGATACCAAAATGGAGAACATCAGTGAGAAATTTAAATGCCCCATAATTCCTTCCCCAGCCCCCAGGGTCAGACCCCACAGGGGTAACTTTTAGAGTATCCCCTCTTGGTCCCACTTCCCCCCTATATTTGGCAAGGATCTGGACTAGCTTTCTCCCACAGACATGTTTCCTGCCTCAAGGCACCTCTGGAGTCCTACACTAGGATGTCTTAACCCACTCTCCACTCTCTCAAAACTCGTCTTTGGAGGAACCTGATAAGTCAGCTCTTGAAGAGCCCTCAGGGCAGGGATATGGTGCAAATGGGGATCAAAGGTACAAAGAGGTGATGGGGGCTTCTTCCTTCCCCGGCAGTTGACCTTCAGAGCCCATGTTCTAGCCACCCACTACACTGGCTCCTGGAGCTCATGTTTATTTTATCCTTAAGGCAGCCTAGTCCAGGAGAAACTATCACAAAAATGGATTAAATTTTGGGGAGGCCTCAAAAGACCTAACCTTATGCCTCCTCTCAGTTCCCCAGAGCCTTGGTCACCCCACGAGATGAATAAGATATTTGGCTAGCCCCCACTGGGCTCCTCAGATTCCATTCCTGGCTGGGCTACCTGTGTACAAAGGAGCCTGGCCCGGTTTTGTGAGATTCAGTAGCTGGTGGATTAGATTACCTCTTGGGTAAAACAAAAGTTCTGAGACCCTGAGGCAGGATGAGCATGGAATTTGAGCTAGATTGCCTGGGTTCTAAGCCCTGCTCCACCATTTACTCACTGTGGCCTTGGGCAAGTTATATACCTCTCTGAGTTTCGGTTTGCTCAACTGTGAACGTAGTAGTTCCTACTTTGAAGGCTAGAGCTGATGTTTATAGAAAATAATGCAACCATTTGACCCAGCAATTTCACTCCATTTTACCCAAGAAATGAAACTAGTGTCCACACGAAAACTTGTACACGAATGTTCATAGCAGCAAAAGTGGAAGCTACCCAAAAGTCCATTAACTGATGAATGGATAAACAAAACTTGTATATCTATATAATAAACTATTTTTGAGCCAGAAAAAGTAATGAAGTACTGATATACACTACAACATGGATGAACCTTGAAAACATGCTGAGTGAAAGAAGCCAGACATAAAAGGCCACAAGTTGTATTACTGAATTTATATAAAATGTTCAGAATAGGCAGATCTATAGAGACAGAAAACAAATTCGTGGTTGTCTGGGGCTGGGGGAAAGGGAGGTGGGGGGATGATAGCTAAAGTCTTTTTTATTTTTTTTATTTTTTATTTTTTTTTTTTAAAGATTTTATTTATTTGAGAGAGAGAGAATGAGAGATAGAGAGCACGAGAGGGAAGAGGGTCAGAGGGAGAAGCAGACTCCCTGCTGAGCAGGGAGCCCGATGTGGGACTCGATCCTGGGACTCCAGGATCATGACCTGAGCCGAAGGCAGTCGCTTAACCAACTGAGCCACCCAGGCGCCCCTAAAGTCTTTTTTAATAATTTACTTGAAGCCCACAGCACCCTCTCAGGATAGAAAACCGGCTTGTCCATGGAGTGACAGAAACTGAGATTTTGGGGTCACACAAAACTGGGTTCAATTCCTTTCTCAGTGGCTTCCCAGCTACGTCTGTTACTGCTTTTCTCTGTAATCACCTCTCTCCTAAAATGCATATGATCATCCACCTCACAGTTGTAAGGATTAAACGAGGAAAAAAAAAAAAAACAGACACCTAACAAGGAATTATCTGAAAAAGAAATAAAGAAATCTATTCCATTTACAACAGCATCAAAAATAATAAAGGGGCACCTGGGTGGCTCAGTCAGTTAAGCATCAACTCTTGGTTTCAGCTCAGGTCATGATCTCAGGGTCCTGAGATAGAGGCCCACCTCTGGCTCGGTGCTCAGTGGGGAGTCTGCTTAGGATCCTTTCCCTCTCCCTCTGCCCCTCCCCCTTGTGCACGCGAACTCTCTCTCTCAAATAAATAAATCTTGAAAAAAAAATAAAGTATTTGGGGATAAACTTAACTAAGTGAAAGATCTCTACTCCAAAAAACTGTTAAGACATCAGTGAAAGAAATTGAAGAAGACACAAATAAATGGAAAGATATTCCATGTTCATGGACTGGAAGAACTAATACTGTTAAAATGTCAATACTACCAAAAGCCATCTATAGACTCAGTTCAATCGCTGTCAAGATTCCAATGGTGGGGCGCCTGGGTGGCTCAGCTGGTTAAGCGACTGCCTTCGGCTCGGGTCATGATCTCAGGATCCTGGAATCGAGCCCCGCATCAGGCTCCCTGCTCGGTGGGAAGCCTGCTTCTCCCTTTCCCACTCCCCCTGCTTGTGTTCCCTCTCTCGCTGTCTCTCTCTCTGTTAAATAAATAAATAAAATCTTTAAAAAAAAAAAAAAGATTCCAATGGCATTTCTTTACAGAAGTAGAAAAATACACTCCTAAAACCACAAAAGATCCCAAGTAGCCAAAGAAATCCTGAGAAAGAAGAACAAAACATGAGGCATCACAATTCATGATTTCAAGCTATCCTATAAAGCTATAGTCATTAAAAAAAATTTGCTGTCCATGAATTATTTCTCACTAAAATTGGAAAAATACAAAAAAAAATTTAATAAACATCATTTTTTTTGTTTGTGGAAGAAAAACACACTTTTTGTGGAAAATATAGACAACTCAGAAGAGAACTTTAAAAAGATAAAATTCACTATAATTCCATCCAAAACTGGGATAAGACCTATAAACCTGGGCCCTGATGGACAGTTTCTCTATAACCATTACTTCCCACCCACTTTTCTCACAACCACCACAAGAAGTTGGGAAAATAATGTCCAGCATTTTGCAGATGAGAAGCTAAAGTTCAGTAGGGTTAGGTGATTTGCCTACACAATGAGGGCCGAAATCTGTTTTTTTGGTTTCTCATCTAGTACTTTGCCTCTGAACCTCTTAGATACCACTTGGTGCGAATCGTACTCTGCCATTAAAATACTGTGTGATTTTGGGTAAATGAATTCATCTCTCTGAGCCTCAGTTTCCTCATCTGCGAAATGGATAGAATAATTGTACATACCTTGTAGAATTATGAAAAATAAAAAGACATATTTTAAACAAGAAAAACAGAAAGGACATGTTTTACAAGCTAGCATGGTGAGACCCTGAAGCCCACCGCTAAATGCTCAATAAATATTCGTCATGGGAGTTTGGGGACATAGAGCCCTGGATTCATAGCCTAGCTCTACTTTTGTAGAGCTGTGTGTGGCCTCGGTAAAGTCATTTCTCCTCTCTGGGCCTCAGCTGCCTCATCTGTGCAATGGTAATAATTAGAAGATCCACCATACTAGGGTGATAGGAGCCCTTAACAGAATGCCTGGCCCGTAGTAGGTTCTCAGTGAACAGTAGCTATTAATCATATAAGAAGAAATAATTATAACATATAATACTGGCAACTGAATAAATAGAAAAGGTCTTGGCTAAAAAGTTGGGAAAAACCCTCCCACACACAGGAGAAGGGAAAAACCAAAGGGAACCAGAGTTCAAAAGTGGAAAATGGAACAGCTGCTGGTAAGCCCCCAGGGGCAGTCACCTTGACCCACAAAACTGAAAAGGGGTGTGTCTTCCTGAACAGATAAGGATCAGAAGAACAAAGCATGCTATTAATTAAGTCTTGCCTATTTTAAGTTTATGGAATATTCTTTCCCTTAAAGATAA